TACCCGTCCTACGTCTTGGTGTAAATCTATAATGAGCCGCAGTTTATGGCGATTCCACCTTCCAGCTTATCCGCCACAAATTACCCAATACTGCATTAAATACCTACTTCATTCTTACATGATGATTAATTCCTCCATTGCTACAAACATAGCCACAAAACATTATAGCGGTATATTTTTCATTGTATTATTTCCAACATCTGATTTAAGAACGTATACTGAACGAAAATTAATTCTCGACATTTCAACTCTATTTAAACGCAGAGTTATAAATCAAATGAAAATAGAATTTAATTCTACCTTTCAAACAAGTTTTAGTAATACAAATATTAACACAAAGATATATTTGACATAAACTGCAATGAAATGTTCCAATTTAACAGAAAGAAATATACAAAGTTGTCTGAAATTTGGCTTTAATATGACGATTAGCGAGGCATATCGCAGGAGTGTAGATCCTTTTAAAGTAGATCGCCCCCCAGAATTCAGATTTGCAACGTTCGGCGAGTTTAAAACGCCCGAAGGAATCCAAAACGATCAGAAAGTTATCGATCACGGTAATCTTCCTCGCTAGCCGCCGTCTACCTGTTTCGGACACGTCAAAGCATGGACATGGAGCCGGCTGTCTTCTCGTTTGTTTCAAAGTCTCGTCACTCATTTTTCATACGTTTACATCGCCGATGCCGCCGCCGTAGGTTCCTTTCGATACTAAAAGCACGAAAGAGAAAGCAATATAGAGAAAGGGAGAGAGAGAGAAGAGGATAGAAAAGAGGAAGAAGTTGAGGACTGGACGAAGAGGGGTAATCGCTCTCTTCTCCACGCCGTTCGAAGTAGCGGCTCTTTCCGCCCTTTGTTCTTCCTCGCAAGTTTTCTTCCTCTAGGCGCGGGGGAAACAAAAGACAAATTACAGAGACGCCCATCATGTGACCCTTCCCACCTGTCTATAAACGACCTGGACTAGTCCAGAGGAAACGAGAACACACCAAAGACAACCACAGAAGGAAGATACATGATCCGGATGACTCGGTCGCGTGTAAACTACTTTTACGTTGAGAATCCGCTTTTTCTTCGCGCCTTTAATTGTCATATTTCTCTAAGACACACTTCTTCATTGCCCGTCATCGTCCCGACAGGAATGTTTGTGGATTAATCATAAGTGCAACATAACAATGCAAAACGTGAAAAAAAAAAGCGGAAAACATGAGAATTCCACCAGCTGTTCTAGAATAGGAACAGGCGAAAGAATAGAAAGGACACGAATGAACGAATGGAAACTGAACAGTCGTGCGTGCGGATCGCTTTCATTCCTACGATTACTACTTTCTGTAATTGCTATTTTCTTATTATTGCTGTTTCCTATAATTGCTGCTTGGTGTTGTGGGCAGTCCCTACCTAAGATATCTAAAAGTTAAAGCAGCTTATTGCCGCATTATGAACATAAGATATTTCTTGGACATAACAAATAGAAATCAAAATTAGGACGCATAAATAGACACTCGAAATAATATACTCACGAAATAATGTACTGTACACGGTGTAATATATAGTATTATATACTAATAGTTTTGTTTCTTTTGTAAAGTATCAAAACAAAAAGACTAGCGCATGTGCTTAAAAAAGTGTGACAGAAAGACATCAACCTGTCCTTTTGATAAAACACAACATCTCGATGTTATGCATTTTATCAAAAGGACACGTCCTCCATTGAAAACACGTCCCGACGTTCTCTATTGAAGGGATGCACGAAGCGACGGCCGTCGCGTTTATCACGGACATCAACATCTGCTCCATCGGCGATTGACGGGCTATCATGCTATAACGAGTTCACTGCCATTTTAGTATCTTTTTCTTTCGTGCTATACTTCTTTGTCATCGACTATTCGAAGCGCCATCAATATCCTTTAATGGAATCTTTATATGTGTCAGGTGCTCCTTAATAATTCTTTTACAAAACATATGTGCGCTGACAATTTCAACCGGATACGCCAGCAAACGAGGCAGACAGCGTGATATACGAAAATACAAATTCTATTTTCGTGCTCTATCATTCTCACCTCGCACACGATCCTGTCAAGCCGTGCTCTTCATGTTGACTACACCTTGACACTTCGTCATCTGCTACATCGTGTCGCAAGAACGAAAAGCTCGCTAGCAACGCTGATATTTTCGTCCGGGGACGTAGAAAAAAAAAAGTCATCATCGCCACAAAACAGTAATGCCTGTCACTAATTTGAATGGACAAGGAGTGGCAACATAGTGTCGTTAAATTCATAACTGACGTTATTTGTTTAACAATTCAAAGCAACAATGTTGGATTAATCAACGCCAAGATATGTCACGCCCAATGTGAAGTCTACCTATCTTTCTCACAACAATACTCCAAATATTTAATAAACGCTCCTATATATTATTAATACCCTATTAATTATTATTAATACACTATTGTTAGTAAATATCCAAATATGCAATCCCATTATTTTTTCGCAACAATTCCTAAGTTGCAGATATTTTTACAAGCTCCCTGAAAGCATATTTCCTTGTATTGTGTGTATTTTTGTATTTAGCAAACGATACCGTTTAATTTATTATATCAAATAGTTATTTTCCAGTTTGATATCGCTGTACATTCATTGTCAAATTGAATTAAACTCCTGGAACGATTGAACAGATACAGGGCGTGGAGTGGAGTTTGATCGACAGTTTCGTCCAACCAATCGCCAGACCGAAATGCTGATGAGCCCCACGTCAATCATGCGATACTTTCATCTCGCCACCATCACCCTCACCCTATGGAAACTCCACGTGCAGGATTTGCTAGGTTCAAAGCTTACTACACCTTCAGTCTACGCCCTTCTCTCT